AGATAACTAACTGCTATTCAATCTATAACAGTGAAAAAAGTTTTTTGTTTTTAAATCCCAGCTATTGTGACACCAGATATAAGTGGTGGCACTGGTCACCGTATCCACTGTTAGCGTAACACACCGGCTTTAAGGACACTGACTGCTATTCAATCTATAACAGTGAAAAAAGTTTTTTGTTTTTAAATCCAAGCTATTGTGACACCAGATATAAGTGGTGGCACTGGTCACCGTATCCACTGTTAGCATAACACACCGCTTTAAGGACACTGACTGCTATTCAATCTATAACAGTGAAAAAAGTTTTTTGTTTTTAAATCCAAGCTATTGTGACACCAGATATAAGTGGTGGCACTGGTCACCGTATCCACTGTTAGCGTAACACACCGCTTTAAGGACACTGACTGCTATTCAATCTATAACAGTGAAAAAAGTGTTTTTTGTTTTTAAATACAAGCTTTGTGTCACCAGATCTAAGTGGTGGCAATGGTCACCGTATCCACTGTTAATGTAACACACCCGCTTTAAGGACACTGACTGCTATTCAATCTATAACAGTGAAAAAAGTTTTTTGTTTTTAAATCCAAGCTATTGTGACACCAGATATAAGTGGTGGCACTGGTCGCCGTATCCACTGTTAGCGTAACACACCCGCTTTAAGGACACTGACTGCTATTCAATCTATAACAGTGAAAAAAGTTTTTTGTTTTTAAATCCAAGCTATTATGACACCAGATATGAGTGGCACTGTAAACTGGCAGAGTACACGCTTTAGGGCTGACACACCTGCTTGAAGATAACTAACTGCTATTCAATCTATAACAGTGAAAAAAGTTTTTTGTTTTTAAATCCAAGCTTTGTGTCACCAGATCTAAGTGGTGGCAATGGGCACAGTATGCACTGTAAGGCCGACACAAGCTGGCAGCAGTGGCAGACAATGACTGCTATTCAATCTATAACAGTGAAAAAAGTTTTTTGTTTTTAAATCAAGAAGCTATTGTGACACCAGATGTAAGTGGTGGCACTGACTGGGGAAATGGGCACAGTATGCACTGTAAGCCTGACACAGAAGCTGGCAGCAGTGGCAGACAACTGACTGCTATTCAATCTATAACAGTGAAAAAAGTTTTTTGTTTTTAAATCCAAGCTATTGTGACACCAGATGTAAGTGGTGGCACTGACTGGGGAAATGGGCACAGTATGCACTGTGAGCCTGACACAGAAGCTGGCAGCAGTGGCAGACAACTAAGTGCAATTACATTACATAGAAAAAAAAATTAAAAAAAAAGCATACCCTAACCCTAACCTAGCTATGCTTTTCCCTATCTAATGAACAGCAGCTACACTTTCCCTCCTCTTACTAAGCATGCAGCTTGAGAATGAATCTAAAATGGATGCCTTCCAGGAGGTGGGAGGGTCTGCTAGGGAGGGTGTGCTGCTAATTGGCTGGAATGTGTCTGCTGACTGTGAGGTACAGTGTCAAAGTTTACTCAATGATGACGAATAGGGGGCGGGTCGAACCGCGCATATGTTCGCCCGCCGTGGCGAACGCGAACATGCTATGTTCGCCAGGAACCGTTCGCCAGCGAACCGTTCGGTACATCACTATTCTTAACATACTGGTAAATCAGACTTAGATATTTTTATATGATATATTTTTGATATTTTTTTAAGTTTTAATATTTTGAAAAAATAAATCTTAAAACATTTAATATATTATCAAAAATATTAAACCGGGGCCTTATGAGAAGTATAGGATAAATAAAGAGAACATTTACCCCCTCCCCCTGTCCGCCCATGTATATTAAATAACTATGTTATATTCATAGCTTCAAACTCCTGACATATGGATGTTTTATTTGTATATTGGTGGCTGTTCCAAACCTTCTACAAGAAACATTACATCTATCTCTCATCTTTTGGCATAAAGATTTTCACTTGTGACTCATTTACTTCTACTGTATGCCTTTGTGAATAATACTTTCATTTGATGATGACATGAATATGTGTCAATCCTTCTAAATATCAGGTTGTTACCAAGCATTGCATTTAAATCACGGGTGTGCTGGAACATTGGATATTTTTTAAAACCCAAAAATGTATTAAAATATGACAGTCACTCATTGATTGTCGAAATGTGTTTGAATACTCTCAAAACACATACTCTAATCAAGAGGATCTTCAAAATGTAGGCAAAACTGGGTAATGAGTGAACCATACAAAAAAAATACTGGGAAAAAAAATGATCTAAAAAAGTGAATAGAGATCTCTGCTTACTTTTTGCCCTTAAATTGTAATTCCCATATGTATGAAGATCTATATGTTCAACAAGTAATATCCGATAAAATATAATTACATAAAAGGTTCAGTTTCTACATATAACCCCTTTCATCTTTTAATCCTTTGCAGCCCACCTGTTACAATTTGTAGCTTTCCAATAAAGGCATATTAGGGACTCCATCAATCAGAATTTTATGGCAGGACAGGAGGCTTCATATTTGCTTTACCTTCTTTACTGAAACCTCCAGCAGCAAAGAAACAGTTAACAGAACTTTTCAAAACAACCAATAAGAACAAAGCAACAGTAGTATAAAACCCCTAAGCAGGCTCTTCCACTTCCTCTTTCTTTGCTGCTGCCTCCAGGTGAGCACTCACCAACTCAGAGTTGTCTCTGCTCTTGGTTGTTGTTTTATCCTACATGCTGCTTGTTTATTTAAACGGTCTATTTAACCCCTTAAAACCGGAGGACGTACAATTACGCCCTCTAATAGGCGGCTCTAAACGCCGCCGGGCGTAATTGTACGCCCTCCGGTTTTTGTTAACTTACCCGGGAGCACATCCGTCCTCGTTGAAGCCCCCCGGCCATGTGAGAGTGGGGTCCTAGCGAGGACCCCACAATCACATGGCCGGGATAGCTGGCTGCAGCATTGCCAGCAGGGGGGCTGCCTGTAATGACAGGTGGTCCCCCTGCTGGCTGAAAATAAAATAAAAATAAGTTAATGGTGTAAAAAAAAAAAATTATATATACTTAGATCATATATATATTATATATGATCTAAGTATATATATACACATATACATACACACACATACACCGTCTAGGTGTATTTTACTATTAATATATATATAATTATATATATATATTAATATCAAATTACACGTAGACTGATACTGATTAAATATATATATAATTATTGTTATATATATATTTATATATAATATAAAAAAAATAAAATTGTAAATACGTTAAAAAATAAAATTAAAAAAATAATTAAAAATAAATAATTAAAAAATATATAGATGTGTGTTATTTCGTTCTAACTGTTTTGTGAAATTAATATATATATATATATCAAAATACACGTAGAACGAAATAATATATATATCTATATACATAAATATATAAGTATATATCACTATATATATACCTATATATAAATAAAAATATTTTTTTAAAATTATATAGATATATACATATATATACACATACGTATATATATACATATATTAATTCTACATATATATTTATGTATTATTTTTACATAATTAGGTATCTTAATTAATTACAATTAGCAGGACCTGCCTGACAACCCATGCCGAAAGTAAAGGGAATTTAATTTGCTAGCACTATATTTAACCCTATAACCTTCCGAGACACCATAAAACCTGTACATGGGGGGTACTGTTCTACTCGGGAGACTTCGCTGAACACAAATATTAGTGTTTCAAAACAGTAAAATGTATTACAACGATGATATTGCCAGTAAAAGTGAAGTTTTTTGCATTTTTCACGCACAAACAGCATTACACGGACAATATTATTGCTGTGATACTTTACTGTTTTGAAACACAAATATTTGTGTTCAGCGAAGTCTCCCGAGTACAACAGTACCCCTCATGTACAGGTTTTATGGTGTTTTCAAAAGTTACAGCGTCAAATATAAGGCTTGCGTTACAGTTTTTTCACATTAAAATTCGCCAGATTGGTTACGTTGCCTTTGAGACCCTATGGTAGCCCAAGAATGAAAATTGTCGGCGATGGCATACTATTTGCAATAGTAGACAACCCAAGGTATTGCAAACGGGGTATGTACAGTCTTTTTTAGTAGCCACTTAGTCACAAACACTGGCCAAAATTGGCGTTTTTTGCATTTTCCACACACAAACAAATACTAACGCTAACTTTGGCCAGTGTTTGTGACCAAATGGTTACTAAAAAAGACTGGACATACCCCATTTGCAATACCTTGGGTTGTCTACTATTGCAAATGGTATGCCATTATGGGTGTAAATTTCATTCCCGGGCTACTATATAGTCTCAAAGGCAACGTAACCAATCTGGCGAATTTCAATTTCAAATGTAACGTGCTATATTTGACCCTGTAACTTCCCAAAACGCCATAAAACCTGTACATAAGGGGTACTGTCTTACACGTGAGACTTTACTAAATACAAATATGTGTATTTTATTGCAGTAAAATCAAACAGTATTATGACACTGACCTTTAAAATGCAATTTAGAACTAAAAAAATCAAAAAATTCGTATTTTCTCCCATTTTTTTCATATTAAATTATGTTTCATAGCTAAATATTTGATATTAAATGAAAGCCCTGTTTACCCTGAATAAAATGATATATAATAAGGGTGGGTGTATTTAATATGAAAGAGGTGTATTACGGTTGGACAGACATGTAGCGCAAATGCCAGGTTTTGTTTACATTTTGTTTTGTTCACAATGTGTACATTTGGCTCCGTCCTTAAGGGGTTAATCAGTCTATTTATTAGGTTTGTTTAAGCAGCTTAATTGCTGGTTTTATTTAGGCAGTCTATTGCTGTGTTTATCTAAGCAGTCTATTGCTGTGTTTATCTAGGCAGTCTATTGCTGGGTTTATTTAGGCAGTCTATTGCTGGGTTTAGCTAGGCAGTCTATTGCTGGGTTTATCTAGGCAGTCTATTGCTGGGTTTAGCTAGGCAGTCTATTGCTGGGTTTATTTAGGCAGTCTATTGCTGGGTTTAGCTAGGCAGTCTATTGCTGTGTTTATCTAGGCAGTCTATTGCTGGGTTTAGCTAGGCAGTCTATTGCTGTGTTTATCTAGGCAGTCTATTGCTGTGTTTATCTAGGCAGTTTATTCTGTGTTATTTCCTATACCACTTCATGCTATGTAGCTGCTGTATCACTTGTTAACATCTGTTGCTGTATTTAGGCCATTTATCTGACAGATTCTGTATACTGCCCATTGATTTATTGTTATTCTGGGTTACTTTATGCAGTTCTTCTCACTCTGCTGTATGGGGAATGGGTGCCCCTGCTATGATGCTTTGGCTCTGCCTGTAATCTGTTCCCCCTCCCCAGGTTCCCCTGCTGGGCTCTGTCGCCCATACCCTTCTCCCTTATTCCCCACCTGCTCCCCGTGGCCCCTGGCTGCTTGCAGTGCCGCACGATCACCACGCGGTAGGCCGCGCTCTGTTTTTGCAGCCACGGCAGCCATTTTGTTGGAGCCGCGGCGGCCATTTTTCAGAGCCACATGTGCGTTGCAAACAGCCAGGTCTCACCCAAGAACTGGCCTGATGGCCATGTGGCCACCCTCCCCTCTCCCTATATCAGGGGAGATAGCCTAGTTTTTCAGCTATCCCTCTACTTACTGTGCCTGTCTCACATGCTGCATATGTAACAGATCCTGGATACCAGGATCTGTCCCAGGCACACTCACAACTGCAGCTTACTATGTCTGATGCAATGTGACTAGGTTTTCTATCTTAGCAGTAGACTTGTCACACTTTTTTACTATTGCATGTGAATCTCAGATTTAAAGGGACATGTTACTGCTCAAATAAAAATCTTTGTTTAACAAGACTATGCCACATGTGTTATATGCTAATCAAGTCTTTCTCTAAGGTTCAGTCTTTTTCTCATAAAAATTAAATGGCCTGTTTTTCAGCACCTAGCTCCCCTGCCTAGGATTTGCTGCCCTTCCTGCAAGGGACTTAAATTTTCCACTACACATACAATTCAAAAGTGTATCCTAATATAATACCTGAGTGGTCTTTGAGTCAGCTTCTCGCTATATGGACCCTCCTACCCCTCAGGGGGTCTACTGGCCCCACATTCAGACCTGTTATTATTGGGGGGGTGAACCCCCCCCCCCCATCCATATTTCTGGGGCTCTACCCGCTACTGGACCATAATAATGGACATATGACACCATTGTGGGCTGGGTGACCCCCTCCCTCTGGCAACATGGCTACCTATGAGTACCCTGCTGGCTCTACGGCGTCCTGTAAGATTAATGCTGAGGGTGACCCCCTCCTGCTTCCTATATTAATGCTCCAGCAATGTCCTGCTATTATCATACCGAGGGGGTACCCCTCCTGCAGTCTGCACTGCTGGACCTGCAGCGTCCGGGTATTCCCATAAAAGAGGGTACCCCTCCCACTGATTGAGCTTCTGTTCTTACAGTGCCCTGCAATACGCAGATACTGAGAGTGACCCCCTCCTGTGGACTACTCTGCTGGACCTACAGGGTCCCGTTATAACCATAATGAGGGTGACCCCCCCTCGCTGACTACACTGCTGGGTGTACAGACCTCTATGATACCACACTGAGGGTGACCCCCTCTTACCTACAGCACTGCTGGATCGGCAATGCCCGGTTCTGGTTATATGAGGGTGACCCCCTCCTGCTGTCTACACTGCTGGACCGGCAATGTCTGGTTACTTTATTATACGGCTAACCACTATGGCACTACTGTACCTACAGTGTCCGATTTATGTTCAGACTGAGGGTGACCCCCTCCCCTGCAGGCCTATACTGCATGGTATGCTTGTGCTTGTTGGGTGACCCCCTCTTGCACGCTGGGTGACCCCCAGCTGGCCGCACCACTGTACCTACAGTGTCCGATTATGTTCAGACTGAGGGTGACCCCCTCCCCTGCAGGCCTATACTGCATGGTATGCTTGTGCTTGTTGGGTGACCCCCTCTTGCACGCTGGGTGACCCCCAGCTGGCCGCACAAGGTATCATTCCGACAGTGTTACCTCTATGGCAGTTGTGCAATCACGGCTGAAGGACAAATCTCCTGTACCCAGAAGGTCACTTGGCCTGTCCTCTTGCCGCCCCGCTGACCTCACTGCCAGAAACCATCGGTACCCTACGGGAACATTCCACCGGCCATCCTAGACGCTACACCAAGCACCCCTGGTACTCGTTGGCTAACGGATGGATTCATCAAGAGGATCAGTCTTCATGACGGAGTCCGGAAAGGACACCGCAAACACCGACACGGGGTTTGCACTCTATCTGGGACTAACCAGTGGATGTCAGTGACATACGGACACAGATGTTTCCTCGGGACGAACGGCGCGTTACCGCTTGGAAAGCGGAGAAGACTAAATTCCCACTGGGAATGGACCGATATGACTTATAGGTATCGCCTAGTTGGTTTCTACCCCCTGAGAACCGCAAAACGGCCCCTGTCCAAGCTGGACATCAAACTGATGGATATAGCATCCAAGTGCTGGGTCTGCTCTCCGGAGTTACCCTCATGTACAAATTGAGCTGACACGTCTCTATTCATAGGGTTCCCCCTTAACTAACCCCAGAGGTCTCTCGGACCGTGCCCGGACTCCAGATCAAAGTTGCGGAACCTTGGACCGTTCCGTGAGCAATACGCATGACCAAAAGAGGCATCCATTCCGACTCATTCCGCAGTTGCCCTGCTGGGCAAAGGGTGCGGTGGAGTGGACTCCCGCCCCATCCCCACGCTACATGCTCCCAGTGCATATGTCGTCTGTTGACACATTTTGAGACGGAGGGCACTCATCCCCTCTGAGAGCTGCTCGGCGTTGACGATTGGTTCTCTCCCTCAAATGCACATGAGAGAAACCTGCATGGATTTTGCCATCAACATGGACATATTGAATCTGACTCACTCCCAGTCAACCCAGTTTCCGGTCTTTCATGGAATATTCGGTCCAGGCGGTGCTCCGCCTCCCGAGGACCAAGATGTCCGATTTCAAGGAAAATACCAGGTATATGCTCTGCAACCCGCGGGTTACACTTAGGGGCCCAACCCGGTTAATTGACCGGTGTCTATTCGCCATGGAAGCCATACCTCCAGGATCCGGTACTATCAGCCGCTCCAACATGGCACTTTCTCTGGTCTTCGGCCTCGTATGACCAAATCATGTGACCTTCGGATGAAGCTCATCTAAAACTTAATTGATGACTCCGGAGGAGGGACTCCTTTACGCCAACTGCATGGAACTACCTGCAGGTTTGTTCAACATTCACAGTATTGCTCGCTACCTTCCGGATGGACTTCTCACCGGTTGCCCACTACGGACTGCAGTCGGACCTCACATAGGATCGCTATCTATAGCTTCTGGACAAGTATTCGTCATTTGTGACAGAATGTATGCGGGACGAGACACTCGTGTGGCGGACGGCTTCACCCGACCATGGAGAGACCCCAATGATTGGTTGCCTCACCCTCCAGGATCTCGAGTACTGGCATGATTACATTCGGTGCGAACCGCCATACGGAGCGGTTCTCCAACTGGCTGCCGGACCCTCAGCGAGACGAGGGACGAGTTTTCCAAGCTTGGTCTCCTTCGGGGCGTACGCATCCCGTTTACCTACAGGATACTTTGGGTTTTGCTTCAGACCGAAGTGTCATTTTGCCTGGCCAAACCACTTCGGAGGAGTCCTGCGTGCTTTCCCCTTTTTGCTGGAGTTTGCCATGGGAAGGCAATCTAC